AACAAAATACAGTATACAAAATCAATGTAAACAATAAATAGAACTGCATGCAAATATTTCGATACTGTTGCATTCTACATTCGACGTTGTTCAGCGAAAATAAACGGAGGCAAATAAAAATACCGAAATGAAAAGATGAAGTGTACCGAGTTAAATTGAAAATATTTTCTTGCTTGTAATGCTTACGTTACGGTGGTATGGGGCAGACTTGTTCCGATACCCTTGCGCGTGGTACCTATCTATCTATATCTACCTTTCACTACGGAGAATTAGATATGGAAATTGTTGCTTCATTTCGTTATCATATAGTGATATTATTATTTTTATTCACAGTGATATTACGTGTGACAAATCACAGTATGTGATTTACGCTCACAACTACTTAATGTCGTACTCAGTATTATTTGCTTTTAATGCGAAATATGAATTAGGATTGTTATGATAAGAGCAAGCAAATGAGTATCTACAGTGTTATAGATAAAGTCTCTATTCGCTTGCTTTGCATGATCGAGGAAGCCGTCTGATGGGATTTCACTAAACTGCTAACCGAACACAGCCGATGAATCACGAATAAATCCGAACGTGCGATTTCATTGTAGCAGTTTTCATACAGCGCGTTACCGTAGAAACGTTACCGTGTGATTCCGGTATAGAATCGGTATCCCTTCCTTCCTGTGGGTGTTGTAAAAGGTGACTAATAGAACTTAATGGACGAGGGATGAGCAAGAGCATCCCTCTTAAAACATCACCAAAACTTAACTGCCGTTGTTAACTCGCGTACAACAATTTGCAAAATCCCTCTTATGGGAGAGGCTTATGTTCGATAATAGTTGTCCACTGCGTATATAGTATGGTATGGACGTAGCAAAAGTGACGTGATATAGCGTAACATATGAAATTTCACTTGTGATACGTGAAATATTCCAAGCCTACGGAGAAGACAAATGGGGCTAATCCGTTATGGAATGGTGGAGGAATTTTATAGCATTTGGGGCAAATTGGTAGTATACATTGATATATAATATATGTAATGTTGGATATGCTTTAGGCATAGTTTTTAGACGCGAATATATACATAATGTTCAGTTAAATAACATACTAGTAAAAATAGGTTTGAAGAGGGAGTGTGGTGGGAAAATTATAGGGCACGTACGTATAATAATTTTACCAGAGGAAGATTCTATATGATCTGCTCGGACAACTCTGTCTCATTCATGTTTTTGCCGAGCTAGTATTTAGTTTAAAGATTGGGATATGGCAGTGAAGTAACCGCGCATGAAAGCATAAAACTTTACCCTTTTAAAATAGAAACTCATAGATCACAGTATATTATGTAATGTTCATGGTACTGTTAATTTCCACCATGTGTGTTATTAATATCTTTAGGAAACGGTTACCACTTTCCATCTTTATCTTATTATCTCTTCAATTGCGATAAGTTATTTTTTTATACAACTTAGAATGGCAAAAAAGATGATAGCCCACCTGATGGAAAGTGGTAACCGTCGCCTATAGGCATGAGCTACTTTGGACATAACAGAGTATACCACTCCTGAGGACTCAGGTGTTATTCTTCTGTACCCTGTAAATTCACTGCCATATCCCACCCTTCAACCGAAACATAGCCATGCAAACACAACTGCTTCACGGTAGAAACACGAATGGGATAGAGGTGCCAAAGTAAACGACTTTTGTACAAAGTCTCCTTCTTTTATTTATACATAGTTAGATTTCTTTTGTCTTCAATCTTCGATTAATTTTGTTCTCATTCCCATTAGTTTTACAATTAAAACTTCTAAACTCATTATCCTCGGCCTTAAAAGCATAGAGTATGGAAAGTTCATTAATCATCCTATGAACAACGATGTCTGTGATAAATTGAAATTCCATTGTTGATATTGGTTGATTGGTCTCGACCGTAGTTTGCCCCAAACAATGTTGGGGCAAATTATGTTTGATTCAAAATTGACCCCATTTACTATCATTTTACCGAGAATCATATTTGAATATAAGCAATTTAATTCGAAGTAAAGTGTAGGGTAAAGCTGGCGGACGCATTTGTAATATGTGGTGGTATTATAGTGGGAGAGCGAGTTGGTTTTTGGGGTTCCGTCATGAAATGAAATAAAATGAATGTATTTGATAAAATGTAAATATACCTTTATGTTGGCAAATATTTAACAATATAAGAAATTTACATATATATTCCACATTACCTTTCCTTTCATTACTTATATAACTCCTTATCTTAATTTATTACAGTAAACAGAAATTAAATGTCTATAAAATAATTGTCTAAATAAATAAATAATAATTTTAACAAACAATGAAAATATATTCCTTAGTGTATAAATGGTATAAAAGGAAATATATATATATATATATGAATAAATTAATTGTTTCTGTTTGAAATTTGGCATAGATTGAAATAGCCTTATCTCACACATAATGCAAAAGGAAATATTTGTAAAGATATTTTTATTTTCTTTGCTAGAACCTCCAAAAAGGGTGTTTTAATTTCTAAATATATCTAATTTACAAGCTAATGCATTTGCATATATAAACTGGTTTTTAAATACGAGTATTTCTATGTCATATAGATTTCGATTCATGATTGAAAATGTGGAAAAAATATCGCCTCCTCCCATTTATTAACGAAGTTTGTGAAGCAAAAAAATCTCAAATAGTTACAGCTTATGAATAGTATTACAGAAAAAATATAACAATATTTCTAACTAGTACAGTTTATGGCCGATAACAAAAAACCTTCAGAGATAAACTTAATTATTTAGTACTATTTTTAAGTGTCAAAAACAAGAATTTTCGAAATGATATAAAATACTACGTGTTCAAAATGAACCTTTTTATATATATATATTGACAATTGTTGTTTTTTTTATCAAAAAGAAAATTTAAAAGCAAATGAATTATAACAAAATATATAATATATTGCATTAGGGGGAAAGGGACTGTTTGTAATGGAGACTGAGAATCCCATTGCTAGCAATATATCCAACCAGGTCGATCTCCTCGCGGTTCTCCCTGGAAACTGTCATGGTTAATTCCTGATGAATTCATCATGATGGGCTAACTGGCCTGTTTTCATTCTCATCTATCATCCTTCACTGGTGCTCCGCTAGCGTATCCCGTTAGCGTAGGCGGGGTTACCATACCATTTTCACCCTTAAAAAAAAATATTGCATCAAGTCAACAGACGGCATTTTTACTTACAATTAATATAATATATTTAATAAAATAATATAAATAATTAATAAATATCAATATATAACAATAAGAACCAGCATATTATATAAACGCTACGAGCTATTTATTCTACATATATTAATGCCATATAATGTCAGTCTCATATTCGAATTTGGTCCTTTACTCCGGATATTGATTGTATGCGAATGTGGTGACCCTAACGTGTATTGGCGCTGCCTCGTTATTTGTTGACGCATTGTGATAAAATCTCGTACAAAGAGGTAAAGTTTGTGAGTTTCAATGTTTAGGGTGAATCTCCGGTACTACCGATCCGATTTTGAAAACTCTTTCACTCTTAAAAAGATATATTATCCTTCGTTGCTCTAGACTACTTTTTATTTCGATAAATATATATATTTTCAATAATTAATTACAATAAATGTTATTGTAATTGGTAAAAATTCTATAATACGGCGTGCACATAAATGAAATATATAGCAAAAATATTCATTACTCTTAGCTTTATAAAACTCAAAGCCCATCCCTCGCTCTCCCTTAGTCCCTTCTTACAAAACCCACAGGAAAGGAAGGGGTGGCCTATTCCATGTCGGGACCATACGGCAAAGTAGTTTATATATTCATACTTAATATTTTAAATGGACGAAAAGAAAATTCCTGAGATGTTTTTTTCCAAAAAAGACTTGTTTTAAAATTGAAATATTGTTAATGTGAAGAAAAATTGTACTATAAAAATCAGTCGGTAGCATCTTGAAAAAAGGAAAAATTAGGGTTCCCTTCTATGACGCAGATGATCAATTTTCATGACAATGGTTCACATTCGTCATCATTAGCTTTCGACTTTACAAATGGTCCCGACATTTGTAAGCGTGAAGTCATTATCCAATGCATTAGGAAAATGTATTTCAAGTCGACATATTTGTTCTCTATCAAATAAATATTTATTTTGACTTATGTAGACCTGTATTTATTATATTTGTCTCTCTGTCTGTTAAGTGTCTTGACGCAGAAGTTATATATACTTAATTTTATTTTTATTTGACTTACAGAAGAGAATATCACGCACTTTTATTTGTGTATACGTAAGTTATTTTTTTAACAATCAATTAAGAATTTATTTGTATAAACATAAGCCCAGTTCTAAAACCACAACTAACTACCTTACTGCACCGTAACATACCTTTTTAAAACTATTATATTAATAATAGTTAAGAAACTAAGGTTATGTTTTATTATGAATAAATCTCATTTCATTTCATTTAATTACATGATGTAATACAAAATATTTTCTGCTGTTATTGTGCATTAATTTATGTGTATTTATAATAGAGGAATAAATTCTTTGAGTCCTCAGAAATGGCAACGAATTTTAATTCAATTATTTATTGAAATTGTTACATTGTTATGTCCATGGATATGGAAGTAGAAATTCTTGTATATATGCGACAGATGTATTCTTTATATATGTGGGCCGTCAGCTTGTTTAAAAAGTTGTATATTTCTTTTAGCAATATATATATATATATATTACCAAATTATTTCAGTTTAATGTAATAGAATTTTAATTCAATTACTTATTGATTATTATAATTTATGTACATTGAGGTGGATATTATCGTTTGCCTCCTGTGTTATAAAAAAAGAACCAATCGGTCCATGCAGAAATCATCGTGATCGACTTGACCTCATCATCAATTTCTCACCTATTAGATGGGGATCTTTATTTTATCTTATAGAGGGTAGCCATAAAAAAATGGCCATAAATAAAACAACAAACATATATTTACATACATTTAATAGATTTCTATAATGCTATAATCATTTTGATACAGCAACGTAACATGTAAAAATTCTTATATCGACACAAAAACATGAATTATATAATTTTATAAATAACATTTAAAAACGCATGAAATGACTAGAATTTATATAAGTATAACCGCAGTAGAAATGTAACATACAATCGGACTTATTCAGGTTTACGTATATGTATTATTTTATCGCCTCATTCATTAAAAAAAGAAGTCAAATGTCATTTTCTGTTTGAGCTATTGAAATCATTTGACATTTGTATTAAATTCTCAATTTAAAAGTGACATTGTAAAAGGTAAATGGGTTTTAGCACAACATTTAATTTAATGGTATTATTTTTTATGAATAAGACGGTAAATTCATACGTTACAGTCAAATTTCTCAATTGGTCAAATATATTTTTGACTACAATTGACAGGTCAAAAGTGCTTATTTATGATTGTTGTATTTTTTAAAGTGAATTTTGACCGTTTAAGTTTTAATTGTAACATACATAGTGTTATATATGTAACACTATATCCCGTGAATTTATTTCGTAATCCTTATTAAGAACAATGTTAAGAATCATTTATATATTATACAAAACAAAATAACTTTCATACATATTATTATAAATATTTAAATCTTATATAATTCGGGTAACATTTCGGTGAAGTATTATATGAGAAGAATTTATATTAGATATGACTACAAGATATGCTAATAATGATGAAAATAGTGAATAATTCATTCGTTGTCATAAGATTAGATCCTAGTAACTCGAAACACTAATATTCGCTTGAGCTTCAAGATTTAAAAAGAAGTGAGTAAAGTGACCATTAAATTACTGTATCGCTATTCAAGAGAAATGTTTAAGAATTACCACTATTCTGAACACAGACAGACACACAAAGGAATCAGATATTGACATGTTAGCTCTCGTACACTAGTATTGGATGTCGATTCTTAATCGATAGTTCCATTGGTACCGTAGATAATCTAATAATCGTTTATTGAATCGATATAATACGATATAATCGGTTATAATTAGGTAATATACTATCGATTAATGTATTTGTATAGTACTAACGATTATATAGAAATTAATCGATAATCTTGCTTGGACTATAATTAATATTATCAAATAGGCTTATATACGATTATTAGATTACAAACGATTAAAATTCGTACAATTTTAAATCGATACTACTCGTATCGATATGAAAGATATTATTGAAAGGCCAATGGATATTTTGATTTAATTGAATACTGTCGATTAATTTACAATCGATTGTTACAACACCAACGCACACTCCGAGCCGAAGCTTTGTAGAAACTGAATGCGCGATTCCACGGAACTGTGAGTCGGCGGGCGCCCATAGAAGGCCTCATTTGAAGCCAATTTTGCTGATCCATAAATCTAATATTATCAATGGAATGTATTGAGACGGTTCTCCGTTCGATATCCTTTCGGCCGTTTCGATCGGCTCCTGAAAGTTTTGATGTCAACAACATGCCTGTTTGCTTAGAAGCTAGTTCTGCCGAATATGAAATTGCCGGCGGCTGTCGGGTCCTCAGTGGAGAAATACTCCTTCCATAGTTCCTGGAATTCTTCCCAGGAGACGCTGCTTTTGCCCTGGTAGGAGACAAGATATAATTTTTATTGATATTGTTGATATTATTTAAATTAATGTACAAAAATTAATCTCTTATTTGACTAAAAACTGATATTGAATGACTCATGTATTTAACTTTCACTTTCCTACGTCACCGTCCCACTCCTTTTTGAGCGATACTTCTATGCGCTATAGACTTGCATTGACTTCCTAGTAGTACAGTAGAAAAGACCAATATAAAATAATATTGGAGAGCTTGTTTTATTGATTCAAAGCCCAATTTTCCATAGATATGATTTTTAGTAGACTAGCAACCCGCTACTGCTTTGCACTTTCTGATAATGTAGCTTTCTATACGAGAAAGATTTTTTTTAATTGGTACAAACAAAAATTAAACTCTCTCCTCTTTACCTTATATTAGTTTAAATATACAGGGTGAAATTGAAATCATAAGCAGCATTTTGGAGGTTTATAACCTCTAAAATGGTGATCAGTTAAACAGAATTAAATCTTTCTGTAAAAAAATATGTTTCGATAAACGATATTTTGTTTCATTCGTATTAATATAAGAAGGATCAGTGTCAATGAGAGGATCAGAGGTATTAACCGACAATTATGTATGTATGTATATATAATAATAATAAATTTATTTCTTTATACAAAGGTAGTTAGTTACATTATAGGGTTTGGTATCTCCTGTTAAGCAAAGATGGTATATAATACATTATTAACATTGGACACATAAAAAAGGTTTAAATAATAATTTAATATTGTATTGATACAGTTGTTGTTGTTTTGTTTTTTAAACGAATCTGCTTTTTACGAACTGTAGGGCAATAATCACTACTCCTTAGACGTTTTGGCACACAGGATACGATCAATTAAAATCCTATTAATAATACAAATTGCAAAGTTTGTTAAAATGTTTATATATTTAGGTATTTGTTATTCAATTACGCTTAAACTATTATATTTTACCTTAACATATTGAATAAAAGTGTACAAAATACTGATTATTTATTTATTTTATTTATTTATTTACATTTTTTTTTACAACTTAGAATGGCAAACAAGCTGACGGCCCACCTGATGGAAAGTGGTAACCGTCGCCTATAGACATGAGCAGTACCATGGACATAACAGAGTACACTGCTTCGCCCATGTTACATATACACTAAACAAACTTTTCATTTAAATAATATCATTAGTTAAATACAATCGCTCTTTAAGAAAAAAATAATATAAATTATACATATTACATATAACAAAATAAAAACAAAACAATTATATAATAACATTTTACTTTTTTACTTTTAATGTAGAATAAAAAGAAAAACATATAAAAAACAAAATGAATGTAGCAGTGTTTGTGCAAAGGACCTAGCTCAGCATTAAAGTGGGCATTGTCGTGGAATAAAACTAGTATGAAAATAAAATTCAAAAGATAACCATCTTATTATCAAGCAACATTCTTGATATATTTCTTAATGTAATAAAATTAAAATGAACCTCTGTAAGTAAACTCAACGAAGATAATTAAAAGATAAATTTAACATTATTTATTCCTTGAGGAATCTTTAATGGAAGATATAAAAATATATTTGAATTATCTATTATTATGAGATTTAATGATAAAGTTATTTTTTTATTTATAAATCTTGTTAAATGGTGTTGAGTTTGTGGTACTATCACGCTAAAGCACCTATTAGGGTATTTTCAAGGAATAACAAAAAATCTTGCTTATAAAGCAAATTTATTATTATAAATCCAGCAGAGATTAAAGACGCTAAAATTATTCCTATCTAGCAATTTATCATTTTTATTACGACAGCAAACTTCTCTGCGGTTTCTCTTATTCGTTTTAATTAAGCAACAAGTAACAAATGTTTAAGAAAATGTTAAACTGAAAACCGTTATTGTTCAGTTAACAACCACTTGATTTAGTTATATTTCCATTTATATTTTAATAATAAAATATTATAGTTTTAATGTTAATTATAGCCATTATTCTCAAATTAAGAAAGAAATATGGGTTTATAAATAATTATTTTTTATCTCCCATACTAGATTTGACAGTTGGGCTATGGAAAGATCACATTTCTCGACTATGATTTCAGTTTTGCTAGTAGAAAATTTTACTAAAACCAAGACAATTATTATAATTTCACCCTGTATATATATTATATATAACAAATTGTTTATATATTTTCTCAAAAGAAACAAAAATATTAAACAATTTATTACTGATGTTCATATTTATAGGTAAGGGTTAGTATGGGCAATCCATCAGGTGGGCCGTCAGACTGTTTGCCATTCAAATCCGAACATAAAAGACGAACTTGGTGCTCGTAAAATTTATGTAAATGGCATGGTAAATTATTCAGAACAGTATTCAATTAGTGAAATATCACGTACTAACCTTGGCCATTTTGTTGAAAGCCACTTTACACTCCTGCGGGTCGATGCCGTAGGATGAGCAAACGGTGGTGAACTCGTCCGAGTCTATGGACCCGTCTGCACTGGCGTCCTCTAGTTGGAACATGAAGTGGCAGTATTGCTGCTGCCACTGCAGTGCCGCTGATGGGTTGTGTGCGTAGTCGTTCCACATCGATACCCATTCTTCTACTGATACCTGTTAAAAGAAAAATTTATATAAAAAATATGTTTAAACCAAATTATAGAATTCGTCGCGTTAAAGAAAGTAATGTACGATCCGAAAGACTAGAAGTTTTTCTCAAATAGATCTACCGTTAGGTAAAGAGGTTTCTTCGACCCTGAAGACAATGCGCGAGTATACCTCTAGTATTGCAGATATTCATAGACTACGGGTATTATATTATCTGTGACTACGGTAACTGTTTACCATCAGGTGAGCCGTATGCTTATTTGTCACTACAGTAGTATAAAAAAAGATTAATGACGATAAAGTTAAGCTTCCACGCCTATTTAATTTGTTCATCTAAAATTGGAAGCTCTAAGTATTTATTGTATTTTTTGGAACAAATGTTTTTTTGGAAAAACATTCAGTGCCTTTAGCAGAACAGTCTTTTAAAGGAATAGATAATAGATTTATTTATTTATTTACAATAATCATCATCTTCATCATCATTATTTCAGCCGTTAACTGTCCACTAAACACAAGCCTTCCCCATAAGGGGAGTTTTACTAGTAGTTTCGACGCTTGGAAGGCTTTAGAGATGTTTCAAGATGGACGTTACTGCCCATCCCTCTACCATTATGTTCCCTTAGTCGCCTCTTACGACATCCACAGGAAATGAAGGGGTAATCAATTTTATGCCGGGACGACTCGGACTTTATTACAAAACGGGATTAAAAGAATAATAATGATTTTGATTTGATTCTATAATAAAGCTGTATTTAAAAACTAAACCACTTTGTATTACAGTGAATTTGCATTAACGTTTAGTCAGCTATACGAAATATAACGTTTATTTAGTAATTTGTTAGATTGTAACATGTAATGTAAATGAACGTAATGCAAGTCCCGAACGAACAAATACAAACAAAATAAATGGAAACAAGCAAAACACACTGCTTAGCCAAACATTGCGGTCGCTCGGCATAAATGTTGCTCCGTGCTTCAGATGCTCAACCAAAAAAGAAACACTTAAGAAAAAAGAATAAACCCATTTAAATAAGTGACGATGAACGAGCCGAATTTAAGGAATCAGAGATAATAACATTTTCCAAAATACCTTGAATTTTATAATTGGAAATTATTCCCTAAATCTAATTTATCCATCTATTTTGGCAAACAGACTCTCAAATCCAAAAACTTCTGTGACAATTTAAGTTTTCGTTTGACTTTCTAGAGAAGGAAATCACAGTTAATATTAATTATTTAACTTCCAAACTACTCCGCGTGATAATAGTAGGCCTGGCCACTTTGTAAATCTAATATGCTCGGCGATATGTGGGTGTGTTGAGTGTTACCTTTACCACGACAGCAACAGTCGTCTAATTCTATAAACTGCAGATAATACTAGAATAAAATGAAATTAGAAATAGCCCAAGCATTGGGATTTTCAAATCGCGTCTGTAGAATTATTACCTCTCACAATGCTGACGTACGTACTTATTATATTCGTGTATTATATATAATATATATCTATCTATTTATATGTATTTACTTATATATTTTTTTATTTGTTTATTTATACCTATCGGTCTTTTCAATTGTAAAGACATTTTATTTATTTATTTCTAACTATAACATTTAAGTCGATTGGTACACATGTATGACTGTAACTACTAATAAACTGTCAGTTTTTTCATATTTGCTGGTTTGCTGGAAGAAATCTCTTTTGGAGATAAGCTCGTCTTTGTGCACTATTATGTTTATTTTTTCATTTCAATAACCTTTTGTGTACAATAAAGAATAAATAAATAAAAATAGTATTCTAATATGCGGAAGCTGACATTGTAAAAAGTGACGATTTAAAAGTGTTAAATAAACATCTATTTAAAAACGTCTATTTGAATAAAGATGCCTAAAATTTGAAATTATCTGGCGGGTACTTTTGGAGTATTATTATGTTACAAGTGATTTCTAATAAAAGATCATATTCTCTGAAGACTTAAATCATATTTTAATAGTAAACATTACTTGTATTGTGATCTAATATGGCTTTATCTTAAGGTAACGCGACTATTTTCAATTGGTAGTTGGTATGCGCATATAAAGTGAGTCATCTCTACAAAACAGGTACGAAATCCTTGCGTGTGCATAATTTATTTATCAGTACTATACCCTGATCGCAAGAAAGAGCTTTATTCTATTGTTTCAACTTTATTGAATTCTCAAGAATACTTTAAGATGGAGAACATACTCAGAGAATAAAGAGCATAAGACAGTATCTATGATAGAGCTAGAACTACTAAAGACTTTAGATTAAAAATTAATGCATGCAATGAATATTTTATTATTTAATGCATATGTGTCTACCTTTTTATGATGGTACTCGTAATATGTTCAGTGATACGGGTCTTAGCTAAGCATGAGTGACTTTAAATTATATATGAAGAGGATGATAGTGATAATAAAAGGACTTTCATCGTATGGAAGATGACGGCTTTATGGATCAAATCTATTGTATAGGCGATAATTTGTGAGATCTCAAGATGCTTGCGGAAATTTTTGTGTACGATTCCTGTAGATGATAGTAGACAGATAGATAGATAGATAAATAATTTATTTGCATCACTTACAGCACACAAACAGCAAAAGACACAAATGCAATGTGAAAAAAGATAAAAAAAGATACGTGTACAAAAAATATAAAAAAAAAAAAAATCAAAAACAAAATCAGAATGCATAAAATTAGTAACAATTTTTTTTTCTTCATGCGTGTGCTACAGTAACACAAAATAGCCACAACTCAACTTTTTGCTTTGCCCTAAAAAGAGCAAAACACTGATTTTCTGTTATGGCAAAAAGTGAGTCGCGAAATACCACTGAAAAAAAATATATTAAAAAAAAGAAAGAAATATAGGTCAAATACATTGTTTGCGTTCGTTATATTCGCTATATAGAAGAAGGGTAGTCAGAAGTCAATTTCTACTATATTATATTAGTACTATAGGTATTATTTGAATGGTGCGTAATTTCTATTACTAAATATGTAGCTATATTTTTATAGTTTTTAATTACTAATGCTTTGTACATTATGTATATTCTGGATAGCTATGTTAACTATGCACATTGCGTTATTGATTTCTTCATATATAGTTACATCGGGCCTCTTGTAATTAATGGCTTTATCGGTATTGATCGTTATGTCCCAGTATAGTTTGTGTGTGCATTCTCAAATACGTTAGTTGGATTATATTTATTATTATTAAGTAACAACGGTTGAAAATAAAGCAGTTCTATGTACTATAAATATTCTTTATTTTGTGGGATTGCTCTTCTGTTTTTATTCTGCACTCGGCAAAATAATTTGTTTCAACCAAACATTAACAAACAAGTCGCTAAGGTAATGCATAGATAAAGAAGAGCTCTACTACTTTAAGAGGTCTTTGCCTAAGAGCACTATTGCTTTTAGGCGAATACCTTTTTTTAACATTATTTATTATTATATCAGCCGAAAACTGACCATTGTTGAATATAGGCCTTTCCCATAAATGGAGTTTTGCTAGTAGTAGTAGAACTGCGATTGCCAACCTGCATGCGAAGCGTGACAACGCTTCGCATGCAGGTTGGCAATCGCAGTTAGGCTTCGGTGATGTTTTAAAAAGGACGCTATCGCCCATCCCTTGACCATTAATTTCCCTTAATCGCCTCTTACGATATTCACGGATTAAAAAAGGGTGGACCAATCTACGCTGGGACTACACGGAAAGTACGTTGGTTTAGGGAGGAAAGGGATTGTTTCCATTAGAGTTTGACAGCCCCATTGCTAGCAGTATGCCCTATTAGGTCGACCTCCACGTCGTTCCCCCTGGAAACCATCGCAAACAATTCTTGTTGAATTCGTTACGATGGGCTAACTGACCTGCTTCATCCTCACCTATTATCCTTCACTGGTGCCCTGCCAGCGTATCCCAATAGCGCAGGCGGGGTTACCATTCCATTATCACCTATTAAAAAAAATACGTTGGATGGATTGTATTTATTATGTTTAAGGATAACGGTGGAAAGTAACAAGGCAATTCTGCGTACTACAAATATTCTTTAATTTGTGAGATTGTTCTTCTTATTCTTATTCCACATTCGAGGGTATTTACTGCTATTTAGTAATTTAAATTCATTCCTTCGCGAACCAACGCGTTTGAATCCGAATAAAAGCTGTATGTGTATATTCTTATAGCAGCAACCGAGCATTCTACAAAATTGTTCACGAATGTAGACAATATGAAAGAATAGTTTTAGCACATTTGCATTGAATAAAACTCAGACGAGTAAGGAAAGAACATTCCGTTTGAGACAAAATTTATATAATTTCCCTTTGGAGCTTGTACGCAACGGATTTCAACTACAACTTTTTGATAGAAATTTTCAGTTGACGATTTTACTTATTTGTATTTTTAACAGGTTAGACGCCTGACGCGATTTACTCAAAACTGCTAGGAATATGATACCTAATGCACAGGATCGTAAAAAGTATTGCATTTTGCGACAGGCATATGCCCAATAGTAGACTACTATGAGCTAATAATGATGATTATAATTCCTGGGACATTCCTGTATTGCCAGCTATTTTATATCAAGGATAGTAATACAAATTACTTCAGTTGTTTCACTCTATAAAAGTTCTTTAACTTAGACCTTCTGTATAAAATAACTATTTTTCAAAATGCGCACTCCTTTTAAGATTTGTTTACGTCTTCCTTATTCAATATCTTGAGAATAAATTTTGGTGATTTTCCAAATATGTAACATATTAAAATGAAAGAGTTTTTATTTTTTTAAATAATTTTGTTAAAACAGAAGTTATATATTTTTTTTTTACTTACAATTTAGATACAATGATTTTAGAAACGTTACGACTTCATTAATTCCGTTATCTGCAGGGGCGGGGCCCCCTAAAATCCAAGACTGTAATTCCAACCTTCAAGCTTCCAACTGCAATAAACTGAAGTGTGCTATGTTGGCGTCGATAAAACGTACCCAGTCGCGGGGCTGTACGAACAATAACCGAATTAAGACGCAAAAACCTTAATAAAGGCTCACCTTGGCTAATGTATTACAAAAATGGAAATCCCACGCTTAATTAAGCAGACCCGAATGATATGATGTTTGACATTTTCATTGTTTTTACGAATAAATGAATTTGAGGGCAAAAAATTCGAGTAGCCAATATATTTTTATGATTACAGGTGCGGTGATTAAAAAAGACATTTTTATAGTGGCTGGTCAGAATGACCACGTTGCGGTTAGTGATTTTCCGAGTCACTTCTTTTGGCATTCGAGTATTTTGGTACTAAATAAAAGAAAAGAATGAATTCTGACTCGAATTTAATAACTCGAAAAGTACTCGATTATTTGATTGGATATTTGAGTACTTTATAAGGCTTAAGTACTTTTCAATTGATTAAAGCTTACTCTTAATTAATGAAGATATAACTAAGAACACACGATTTGACGATTGATGGAAAGTGGTAACTGTCACCTATAGACATCATGGCTATTACTGAAAACATTATGATGCACATGGCCTTTGTGTGTTGCTATTTCTAAGAACCATAGTGTTATGGTGTCAATGTTAATTGAGAATTACTTTACCTGTCCATCCTTGTTGGAGTCAGCTCTCTTTCGTAGACCATCCCAAATCTTGATCATAATCTCATGTGTTTCGCTATTTTTTGAGTCACCTGGCTTCCATCCGCGGAGACTGCAGATTTTCTAGAAAAAATAATATTATTATTATTATCTATAGTGCGTTTAAATTTATCTTTAGCCTATTTTTTTTTATTATTTTGCTACCATTATGCCTTGGCCTGACACAACTTTAATTATTTCTCACCATTCTAAGGTTGCCTGTAAGAGATCGTTGTTTAGCGATAGGGTCGCCCATTGTTGCAAGATAAAAAATCTTATTTTTATTTAATTAAAGTTTCTAATTAAGTTAATTATTTTTTTATACACATTGTTAATCTATGTAAATTATATCATTTTTTGAAAGACACTATTGGGTTTGCATTTATTCATATTTCATGTAAATTTCAAAACAAAATATAAATATGTATTAAAATTATCCTTTTTTTTTCGATTTGTTCCTTTGAACATGCCACAAATGGAATCCATTCTGTACGATTCCATCAGCCAGTATCATTAATTCATTCTTTCTGCCTGTATTATTCCTTGTCTTTAATCTTTTTTTTTTTTTTCAGTTGATTTAATTTATAGCTGTGTCTATGGACAACGGTTGCTGTTTCCCATCCAGTAGTCTATTAGCCTGCTTTCCATTCGCAATGGCATTAAAAAGTCATTATCCTAGACACTGGCAACTCGAATACGTAATGCTTCCCCGTAATGGATAATATTTCACTTGGTATGAAAACGGGGCCAAAATTTCTTTTAATCAACTGAGGTATTGTGAAATGCGTTTTCTAGTGATTTATTGGATATTTTTGACACTTATGAATACATCTAGTATTATAAGGTCAAGTTATGAACTTGCAATATTTATTGTATAATTTATTTATGTCAACTTTACAATTATAATAACAATACAGAATAATTCATGATTATTATTATTTAACAATGGCAAGGTCTAATTCTGATTTATGTCTATTTTATTGTTTTTTTTTTTAGCTTTACGGCTTTGGATGTTTCGTTTTAGAACATCTTTAATATCTATTAATCTTGTTGCAGTCAATATTCTTCTTGAAAAAAATATATAATTGAATCCATCTTGATGTAATTACAGTATTTAAATAGTGTTGTTCTATATGATAGAATATTTTTTATAATTATTATTCTAAATGAAACACAAAGTAACTGAGGAGCGTCCATATGTAATCTTTTATTTTTAAAATGTGTTGCCATCTACAATTTCAACTTCCAACTAAATATAATAGGGATACCATATATACAACAAGTGTGGAGGATAAATTCGTAGATAATTGGACAAGTATCGGTGTTCTGAACAATAGATGGCAGTAGGCGGGGTATCTCTTTATTTGCATTTTATTTGACATATTGTGTTTTTTGTGACACTTATGGATATGTCTGTTACTAGTCAAGTTATAAACTGTCAAAATCTATTATAATTATTTATGTAGGCTTTACAATTATCATTACAATACAGTACCATTCATGATTATTATACTCAACAATTGCAATATCTAATTCAGAATTATGTCTATTTTATATAGATACTATTTCCCACGTCGTTGTTTACATAAAATAAATCCTGTCTAATTTTGTTCTAATCCAATATTTTGATTTTTTTGTTTAGATTAAAAAAGAAAACCGTTCAGCCATGACACGACAGCGAGGGTTAAAAGTTTCCGAAACAGGCGTACATGTACCAGATGAGTCATAAAAGTGAATGAAGGAAAAGATAGTAAATAAAGATAAAGGGTCTTTAGCACTAAAAAAGGTAAAGTTCGTTCATTTGTAGGCAGTCTCTGGAACAAATCGAATTTCCATTAGATAATTTATGACAATTTCAGATTAATTCATGGTAAGTATATTTTTTATGAAAATTCTTGAAAGAGTAGAAGATAACACAGTGTTTTATTTTCTAGTCGATATATTTTTAATAAAAATTTTGCGAATATAGTTGAATATCACTATATGCTTTGAACGGATTCATTAAAATATATAGGATTTTCAAATTAATTGAATATAAAGGACTAAATTTGAGATACGTAGGATTCTTTTTACTTTATATCATTCTAGTTGCAGCTAATAGTTTTTTTTAATGGATGATAGTGGAATGGTAAGCCCGCCTGCGCTATCGGTATACACCGGCGGGGCACCAGTGAGGGATGATATGAAAAATTAAAGAGCAGGTTAGCTAGTCCATCGTGATAAATACACCTGGAATTCAGCACGATGGTTTCCAGGGAGGACCACGGGGAGGTCGACCTGACGGGGTATGAGTAGGTATAGTTAAAATGATAATCCAACCTTTTTATGCATCTTAAAATAGCAAAGAAGTTGACGGCTCACTTGATGTAAAATGCTTAGCGTTAGCTATAGACATGAACAGTACCATGGACATAACATAGTATACTGTGTCGCCCTTGATACTTATCATATGTTGCTACTCCTGAGTTTCTTTTCACAATCCGTGTTAAAATATTAAACGAAATTATATTTTATTATTTATTAAAATACCTCTATCGCCAGTTCGAAGTCTTTTCTTTCTATTGTTCCACTTTGATTCACATCTGAAACAAGAAAAACAATATTAACAAGCGTAATGAATATGCAATATGACAGAAAAAAAAACAAAAGGTATTTTCTATTACAATAAATAATACTTTACCGAAAAATACGTTGAAAACGTAAAGGAGCTTCTTCCGCCGGAATTCTGAGATGGACATTTTCAAAATCTGTAACAATAAAGCAAGAAAGAATTTACATTTGTACTGTTGATGAACATTTTTATTAAAACAACTCTCAATTAGACTGAAGTTTGTGAATTTTATTCGCAAGGAATTTTTCTTATAAAACAGATTGTGGTTTTGTGTTGAAAGAATGGAATAATCCTATTAGAGTAAGCGCATTGAAATTTTCTTTATGGAAAAATAGCTGGTTTCTCTACGAGTATAATAAATATAGTTAATTTTAAACTTTCGCGTTGTTTATACATATTTTAAATACACAATCGACATCACGACGTGGTGCAATCCACGTCGAGACGTTGGCAATAAAGAAGCTGGTATGTATCAACTGGTGTAACTACCATCCTCTGGTCTCGGACCTCGGGTTTGTGGTCAGCCACCCGGATCCTTCCGGCCCAGTCCGACCTTGGGTCTTCCTTTGGATGGGGGGGGGGGGTTGCTAGTAGTTACCACCCTCGGCAGACGGGTTGGCAACCGCAGGTAAGCTTTGGTGACGTTTTAAGAATGAGAATATTTTTGATACACTATCCGAACTTTGTGCGATATAAAATTTAATCGTACGATACACGTCGAAACATCGGCAATAAAGAAGCTGGTATGTACGTATTATTCACCTACAAAGGTTTTGTGTGTTTAAAATATGAGTATAAATATTTTCATTTGTGAATTGTACCTCTAAAGAGTTAACTTTTATTAGGTTAATATACTACATAATTCTTAATTAGACAAATATCTCCAATATTATTAATAAATATTTTATAATATTTTTAATAAATAAATATATATCAAATAGTTTAAATTTTTCGTACTACAAAAAAAATCGACTTCAATTGTGGTAAAACCAGTTATCCTGACTTTAAAAACTAAACTCCTGGACTGATTTTGATAAAATTTTTATGGGACCAATCCGTATGTATATCCTTTCAGATAAAAAATATTTTTTTTTTCTAATTAGTTGAAAACTGACATAAAACATACATAAAACAAACAAAAAATAACTAAATACTAACACGTTTCCTAAATTGGTCCGACCGGGAATCGAATACGGAATAAATGGATTTTTTTAATATATTTATAAAGGTATTAGCGGCCAGTCCCGGCTTCGCGCGGGTGGATATTTTTACAACAGTTTAAAAAGTGATTATTGTGACATAACGATAATAGTTGGACATATAGTATAGTAAAGTTTTTTGTAGTTATTGATATTTTCTTCAATATTGTAGAACATACTTATGTTCTATCACCAATAGTTTCTGCAGCACACGCGACGAAAGATATTTTATAGTATTTTTTTTTACACCTTGAATTACGTTACTAAAGTTTTAATAAGGATCTCTAATCTTTTCTAGCAATAAATATAGCCCATGTTACTCAGGGTCAATGTAGATTTCTAATGGCGAAGGAATTTTTGAAATCGGCAAAGTGGTTTTTGAGTTTATTCATTACAAACATACATATAAAAATACAAATCTTTCCTCATTATAATATTAATGTAGAATTATATCTACATTAATATTATATCATATCAAAAATATATGTACGACTATATATACTCAAAAAAAAATCGTATCTCCGTGTAAGTAACACAATTACTCCTAAGCCTGTTCGGCGACAGTGACATTTTGGTGTGGTAGCCTTAAGCTAACCCTTTTCAAGTCAATCTATTCGCAGGTGGCCTGACCGCTGGTTAAGCCACTTCCCTGAATGATGTACGATTTTCATTCGTCTGCGATTCATTTTTTTATTTTATGTCACTCATACTTTAATCCCCCAAAAGACCATTCGTTCTTGGTGTTATTTTCTATATAATATTATACTTTATTACGATGTAATGTACTAACTTTTGCCCGCGACTTCGTTCGAGTGTGGTATTTAATTTTTTTGGTGACTTTATTTTTTGCCATGAGCCCAAATATAAAATTTCACCTGTCGGACTTTTAAACTGTCGAAATCCCATACAAACACTCATTTTACTCCCATAGGGATCGAATTTCCAGAACTTCTTACTTATTATTTACCTTCGCTATGTAAAGAAACTATCTGCTAAATTTTAAAGTTCTAGGTTCAGCGGTTTCAGTTATGCATTAATATATGGGTTAGTCAATCACTCAGTATTCTTTTTTATATGTATGTACATATATTTACATTACGTATCGCTTTATAATACTGTCGAGTTTTTAAACGGAACTGAGTGAGTAGTTTTTCTCCTATTCATCTTTACTTATATCATTACTGTTCTTATTAGTAGGTACATAATACTAGTCATTTTACATGACTTCATTCATAACTGCGATATATTGAATGACCACCATAATATCATATTTTAATTCCCAAGAACATTCTAAAGAACATTTTCTTCTGGAGTTGTTTAATATACATATACTCGTAAATTTACTGTGTTACTGAAGACTATGTAATATTTAAACGAAATGCCATCAATGGAATATAAAATAAAGTAATGAAAATTTATATTACGTAGGTTACACGCGTGATGTAGGAAGGAAATTATCAGTAACAGAGAGAGATTCATCGCAATGGGGCAACTAACCTAAATTAATTCCAATTTACTAACCTTATCAGAGAACCAATAGTGCAGGTAGGGTAAAGTATTCTATCTATCTATTTAAGAGCTGCGCTCTTGTCGGTGGAGCTCTTGCTACTCACTACGATTTTCAGCGATTCTCTTCACCTCTTGATACGACACGACACCAACTCCTTCCTTGATCTGCCTGATGTAACTATGTCTCGGTCTCCCTCTCCCGCTCCTTCCTTCTATCTTACCTTCTATTATAATGTTCATAAGTTCGTCGTGTCGTATCAAGTGTCCCAACATTTTTCCCCTTCTGTCCTCAATAGTTCTAATAATTTGTCTTTTTTCCTTAACCCTAAGCAGGACCTTCTCATTGGTAAAGTATTACATGTATTAAATTTTCATCCATTAAAACAATACGTAACGTATACACTTAATATCGTATTAAGTACCTCCCTTCTATCATTGACCTTCATACCAGGATTTCATTCTTACATCGTAGACTTTCCACACATCTGCATGAAGTGTTTTGCCTCTCCATTTCTATCGCGAAGTGCTAGGGGGGAAGGGATTGTTAGTAATGGGGAAGTTAGTTCACATTGTTATCAATGTGGTATCAGATCGATCTCCATGCGGTTCCCCTTGGAAATTATTGTGACTAATTTATCGTTGAATTCGATATGATAGGCTAACTAGCCTCCCTTTTCATCCTCACCTATCATCTCTCACTGGTACTCCGCCAATGTATACCGATAACGCAGGTGGGGTTACCGTGCCATTTTCATCCATAAAAAAAAACGCGAAGTGCTAAGGAACGGTATACACTTCCTGCTTATATATATTCTCTATTGCATTTAAACAATACATACAACGATTAGTTTAACAACTTGTTAGCAAGGGAGGGCTTCTGTGTTTCCAGAGAAATACAAGCTGAGACTCTTCAAGTCAATGGTGAACGCGCTTTATCCTAGATCTTATTATCACTTACTTTATAAGGTAAGAGATCAAGCGCCAAACCCATCTCTTATAAAAAAAAATCTATCCTGTAAAAAATTCGCATCCAATTTGATTCTATAGGAAAGAACCTATTACACTTTTTAGCATACCAATTGAACGGGAAGTTATTATTTCAATCCATTGGATAGCAGTATCGCAATTTGCCTTCCATTCAGAAACTCCATTTTGCGACGGAGTCTTATTTAATGATAGTTTGATCTATCGAAATTGTTTATTGATTTTTAAGCTGTTAGGAATCAGGGGGCCTACTATGAAATGAAATTCCGAATTTTCGGGCTCAATTTCGTGTTTTTGTTCGTACCTAAATCGACTCAGTAAATGGAGCTTAACGTTTCATTCATCATAAATCCTATCCTAATAGTTCAGAGGAACGATATTTTATTATTTTTAATAATTTTAAACGGCATGTGTTGTGTTATTTTAACATTAAATTTCTATTTCGTTTGTCCCCGAAATTTCGGAAAATATTTCGTGGTAGGCCCTCAGTTCTATGTTTTTTTTTTGATGGGTGAAAATGGTATGGTAACCCCGCCTGCACTAACGGGATGCGCTGGCGGAGCACCAGTGAAGGGTGATCGATGAGAATGAAAACAGGCCAGTTAGCCCATCATGATGAATTCATCAGGAATTAACTATAATAATTTTCAGGGGGAACCGCGAGGAGGTCGACCTGGTTGGGTATATTGCTAGCAATGGGATTCTCAGTCTACATTACTAACAACCCCTTTCCCCCCCTCAGTTCTATTTTTTACTGCCTTCGAAAAGAAGGTTTTAAATTTGGTTGTATTTCTTTTATGTTTGTTACCTCATAAGTCCGTTATTAATCGATTTGGAAATTTTTCTTTACCTGAAAAAATATACTTACAGGTTGATCCCATAGAAATTGTACGAGAATCAGTTCAGTAGCTTAGTTTATAAATCAAAATAACTAGTGTTGCCACAATTGTTTTTTTTTCGAAGTTTTTTTTTTGTGGAACATAATCTTAAATTATAGACTAAATGCATGTGTACATACATACATATTTTATGCCAGGACCACACGGTTTGTAAATATGATAAGCTGTTTATCCATCACTACATAGTATAAAACAAAGTCGTTGTCGCTGTCTGTATGTCCCTATGTATGCTTAAATATTTAAAACTATGCAACGGATTTTGTAGCGGTTTTTTTAATAGATAAAGTGATTCAAGAGAAAGGTTTTTATGTATAACAAATGCATAATATTGTAGAAACACTGATAAATTTAGAGGTTTCTAATGTGACGTGATATAATGTGTACCCGCGCGAAGCCAGGGCGGGTCGCTAGTAATAAATATAAAATAGATAAATATTTTCATTGTGTTGTTATTAAAAACACAATAGAATGTATGGATATTTCAAGCGTTCATAGTTGATCCACAAATCCTCCATAAATCCTGCTGAAATTAAAGTGAACAAAAA